CAGGACTTTCCTCCCTGGTGACCTTCTGTACCCGGCCCATCATCCTTGCTCTGCTCATGTCTGTCTAGCCAGGGAGACCCTGGGATGCCTCCTGCCCCATCTACTCATCTTTCTCACAGGATCTCCCTTCCTGCCCTGCCTTTTTTTTTTTTTTTTTTTTTTTTTTTTCCTTTTTTTTTTTTCACAGAGAGGAAGAGAGAGAGAGAGAGAATTAAAAACATCGATCAGCTGCCTTTTGCACACCCCCTACTGGGGGTGTGACCAAAACCGAGGTACATGCCCTTGACCGGAATCGAACCTAGGACCTTTCAGTCTGCAGGCTGAGGATGCTCTATCCACTGAGCCAAGCCGGTTTTGGCATGCCCTGCCTTCTTCAGTGTAGGATGCACAGCCAGGGTGCAAATAGTCATTTCTTTCCTGTGTGGGAATTGGGAGGGTGTGTGTAACTCCGAACTCCTGGGGCAACTCACAAGGGTAGGCTGAGCTCTCAGTGGTTTAACCCATACTCAAAGCCTAAAGAAGCACCCCGTACTGATGCTGTCACCCCATTTCTAACTGGAGGGTCCCTACTAGCTTTGAAGTTCTTACCAGACAAGTGGGCTCTACGGTGTTGTGTTAAGATGTGCGACATTGCCCAAACCGGTTTGGCTCAGTGGATAGAGTGTTGTCCTGCACACTGAAAGGTCCCAGGTTTGATTCCGGTCAAGGGCATGTACCTTGGTTGCGGGCACATCCCCAGTAGGGGGTGTGCAAGAGGCAGCTGATCCATGATTCTCTCATCGATGTTTCTAACTGTCTATCCCTCTCAGTAAAAAATCAATCAATCAATCAATCAATCAATCAATCAATCAATCAATAAAAAAACCTCATAAAGAAGAAAAAAAAAAGATGTGCGACATTGAAGTCGGGATTTGGGTTTGAGTCCTGGACCTTACACTTACTGGCTGTGTGACTTGGGCGAGTCAGCTAACAGAGTGGGCCTTGGTTGCTGCACTCATGGGACAGGGATAATAATGATGTGAGCTGTATCATTGGGTGGTTGTGAGGGTTCAGTGAGTCAAGTGTATAAAACCAGGTGTGAATGAGTCATGAGACCCTCCCTCCCCTTTAAAGCAGTCCAAGAGCCAATTACCATTGGCTTCCTTACTCCCAAGCCCCACCCCCAGGTGGTCTTTGTTGGAGCGAGTCCATGCTTGGTCTCTCTGCCCTTCGCTTGGGTTACAAACGACACCCATATCACTGCTGGACTCCTTACATTTTCTCTTTCTTGCTCCAGCTCTTACGTTCTTTTCCAAGGCGATTGCTTGAGCTCCTGGCAGTTGATATTCCCCAATGCCGATTGCTTTCCCATTTCTTCTCACCCCCTGCTTTCCACAGTTCCCCAGAACTGTCCTCTCCCAGCCAGTTTCCGAGTTCTTTCCCTCATCTGGCCTTCCAGGGGCAGCATGGTACCTCCTCAGTACAGGCTAGTTGATAATGAGTCTGGCAAGCTTTCTCTCCCTCTGACTCAATTGAAACTTAGAACATTTTAGACCTGTTGTGTAATATCTGTCATGCTGAGGAAGGGGTGGAGAGGGCTTAATAGAGGTCAATTAAGAAGGATATTAGTTCAAAAAATTAGTCACTCCTGCCCAGCTGGTGTGTGTGCCTCAGTTGTTGAGCGTCAGGCCATGAACCAAGAGGTCAAGGTTCAATTCCCGGTCAGGGCTCATGGCCAGGTTGTGGGCTTGATCCCCACTAGGGAGGAGGGAGCCAATCCATGTTTCTCTCTCATTGATGTTTCTATCTCTCTATCCCTCTCCCTTCCTCTCTCTAAAATTAATAACAATATATTTTAAAAAATTAGCCACTCAGATAAAATATTTACTAAAAGCTTTTTTAAAAAGATATTTTTGAGAGAATTAGGAAACACAAGTAAAAACCCTAAGTAGATATTTGATACTAAAAGGTTGTTTTTGCCCTAACTGGTTTGGCTGAGTGGATAGAGCGTCGGCCTGGGGACTGAAAGGTCCTGGGTTTGATTTTGGTCAAAGGCACATGCCCGGGTTTTGGGCTTGATTCCCAGTAGGGTGAGGCAGCCGATCTGTGATTCTCATTATTGATGTTTCTCTCTCTCCCTCTCCCGTCCTCTCTGAAATCAATACAAATATATTTTTAAAAATGATTGTTAATTTTTAAGTGTGGCTAAGTTAAAAAGAAGTTTTTGCCATACATATGTATGCATGTATTTATTGATAAAAGGATCTGATGTCTTGGATTTGCTTAAAAGTAATTAAAGAGTGAGTGAGGTGGGGATGTAGATTATTGAAGCAAGATTGACGATACATTGATATGTTTTGAAACTATGTGATGAGCCTATGGCCTCCATTATACTATTTGTTTTTTAATATGCTTGAAAATGTAACAAAAACTCAAATACCCGTATTTTCCGGCGTATAAGACGACCTTTGAAACAAAAAAAAGTCAACCGAAAATCGGGGGCAAAAGACCAAAATTGCACATACATTACCTACAGATCTTGACGGCAAAGTAAGTCTTTTCTTTGAAGTGGGGGGTAGTCTTATACAACGAATATAGGCCTAAAGTATGTTTTAACTGTAAAATTAGGGGTCGTCTTATATGCCGGAAAATACGGTATTAAAAAACACACCACTGTTTTAAAGGCAGTTTAGGGACTGTTTCTCATCTCTCTGGCATGGTTGGGGAGGGAGGTGGAGGTGAAATTGGAGAAATTGGTTTTCTCACACTCCACACCCACTGCCCATTGCTCTTGTTGGACCCCGGTCTGTGGGGGTCAGGAGGCTCTGAGACACCACCTCCTCCTGCACTGCTGTCCCGGAGCGAGGGGCCTCGAGGCCCAGTTGGGGGCAGAAGGTCTCTGCCTCACTGTCCAGCCCCACACTATCCTCTATGCAAAACCCTATCAGTCTCTGTCAAGATTTGGAGTCCTCAGGCTCAAAGTCCTGCATAATTAATTATCAGGTAGTATGATAACAACTACTTGTCAACAGCACTACTTTGAGGGGTAGGGAAGGAGCAGAGGGAAGGGCAGGGAGGGTGAGAGAAGCACCTTTGCAGCCAGACACCGCCCTGATGATTAATCTGAGAGGGAGTGAGGAGGAGAGGTGAAGTGAGCGAAGACGAAATGCAGAGGGCCTGCCTGGGTCCCTTCCCTTGCTGGTGCTGCCCTCGCATTGGACAGGGTTCCTCCTCTTCTGCAACCATGGCGCCCTCCACACCTCCCTTCCCCATAGCACCCCGGAGTGGACATTTGTAGGCAGAGCATATCAGGCTTTGGGTACTGGCATTTCAGGGCTTGCCTGTATCTGAAGTTCATCTGCCTTGCTTTCCCCTGTTTCTTGTTCTACCCCCCGGAGAGGTGGAACCTAGCCCGTGCTTTGCTCTGTGCTCTGCCTATGGGAGGAGTGCAGTTCCCGTGGGGTAGAGTGCAGGTGACAGACCCATGGTAAGAGAAGGCCCACGGATGCCTGGGGCAGTAGTGGCAAATTATGTCTGTCTGTCTCTTCTGCTTTGGCAGAGAACATGTCTGTTTTCCCCTTTCCCACTGAGTATCTAGACTAGTGATTGGCACAGAGTGGCATTCAATAGATATTGGCTGAGCCTGGCTGGCGTGGCTCAGTGGTTGAGCATTGACCTATGAACCAGGAGGTCACGGTTCGATTCCCGGTCAGGGCACGTGCCTGGGTTGTGGGCTCCATCCCCAGTGTGGGGCGTGCAGGAGGCAGCCAATCAATGATTCTCTCTCATCATTGATGTTTCTCTCTTTCTCCCTCTCTAAAATCAATAAAAATATATTGAAAATACTGGTTGAATGAATGATTATATAATACAAAGTTAAATTTGTATTATACAAATTGAGAGCCAGTTTCACAAGAAGTTAGGAAGATAGATTTAAACTAGAAATGATTTGTTATTTATATTTAACTTATGATGACATACCACTAATATAATATTTTAATATATACACAATATTTATTCATATATAAATGTATGTGTTATACTGCGTATATAATCAAGAGTTCATAACCTGGATGGAATTGGAGAACATTATGCTGAGTGAAATAAGCCAGTCAATGAAAGAAAAACACCACATGATCTTACTCATTTGTGGATAATAAAGAACATTATAAACTGATGAACAAAAAGATAGATACAGAGACAGTAAAGCAACAAACAGACTGTCAAATTACAGCAGGAAGGTTAGGGAGAGGTGGGGGAGATAAGAGATCAACCGAAGGACTAGTATGTATGCATATAAGCATAACCAATTAACGCAAAATTCGGGGGTGGGGTGGGGGGGTTAGGGCATATATGGGAGTGGGGGGCGCAATGGTAAGATATGTACACATATAATACTTTAATAAAAAATGAAAAAACAAACAAAAAAAAGAGTTCATTATGACAGGGAAAACTCATTACTTTTTGGAATTAGTAGAGCCATCCTTACAAATGCTAAGGAGGGAAAAAACCTACTATGTGATAGCAGAGTTTAAGAAGATAATCCAGTGGCTTCTGAAATCTAGAGAAATCTACAGTTTAGGTAACTCCTTTTATCCATGGGAGAATGGGATGCTCACAGATAATGTCTGAGATAGGTATTCCCACATTCACAGATTCCTAAGAAATCACTAGACAAAAGCATCAGGAATACTGGAAGTTATTTGTGACATATTTTTTGAACTGAGACTCTGAAACCTCTCTGCAGAGCACTGGGTCCTCTAGCTTCAGGGTAAATATTAATATTATAGTTCAGTTATGGGGAAGGACATATGGGGCTTGTTCTTTTCCTTCATCAGCCTTTAGGATTTGCCACGAGGACATAGAGGAAAGGTAGTAGCTTTATCTAATATGGTAAGGTCACAGGCAAAACCTTGGCTGAACATACAACATTTTTTTCCTGGATCTCTCCTGGTCCTCTGTGCCTGCGTTTGTTAGGACATTCACCCTCTGCCTCTGATTTGCTTTCACACAGGATCAAAATGACCACACCGGCTGGTGATTGCCGCGATGACCTGCCTCTCAAGTACCGAAGACTTTGTGATACGTCCGAAGCTTGGGGCATCGTCCTGGAAACTGTGGCTGCCGTGGGGGCTGTGACCACAGTGGCCTTCATGCTGGCTCTCCTGGCCCTCATCTGCAAGGTGCAGGACTCCAACAAGCGGAAGGTGCTCCCGGTCCAGTTCCTCTTCCTTGTGGGTGTGCTGGGGGTCTTCGGCCTGACCTTCGCCTTCATCATCAGGCTGGACAGCTCCACGGGGCCCACACGCTTCTTCCTCTTCGGCGTCCTCTTCTCCCTCTGCTTCTCCTGCCTCCTGGCTCATGCTTTCAACCTGACGAGGCTGGTCCGCGGCTGGAAGCCCCTCTCCCTGCTGGTGATGCTGGGCCTGGCGGTGGGCGTCAGCCTGGTGCAGGACGTCATCGCCATCGAGTACCTCGTCCTCACCATGAACAGAACCGATACGGAAATCTTCGCGGAGCTCCCTCCTTCTCGGCGCAACGAAGACTTTGTCATGCTGCTCATCTTCGTCCTCTTCTTGATGGCCCTGACCTTCCTCACGTCCTGCTTCGCCTTCTGCGGCCCCTTCACCGGCTGGAAGAGGCACGGAGCCCACATCTATCTCACCACGCTCCTCTCCATGGCCATCTGGGTGGCATGGATCACCTTGCTGATCAACCCTACCCCTGACACCATGTGGGACGATACCATCCTCAGTGCAGCCCTGGTGGCCAACGGCTGGATCTTCCTGTTGGCTTACGTGGCACCCGAGTTTCAGCTGCTCACCAAGCAACAGAACCCCATGGACTACCCTGTGGAGGATGCTTTTTGTAAACCTCAGTTCATGAAGCAGAGCTATGGCGTGGAGAACAGAGCCTACACTCAAGAGGAAATCACTCAAGGTATAGAGCCGGGCTGGGTAGATAGCCCTCTGTAGAGAGATGGGGGAGAATCATAGGGTATTATAACTCTAAGGAACATGCAGGTTTATCCAGCTAGTGCCCCTGACAGAACAGATAAGGCCCCCAAGGCTCAGCTCATGCTTAAAACCGTCCAGCTAGTTAACAAGTGGATCTAGAAGGTGCCTCTGGAGCTATAATCCAGCCCTTTCTACACAGTCCATGTAGGTTTCTCTGCATAAAAATAAGATGAAGCAAAGGAATGGAAAAGGAATGACTCGAAACATTCTTAGAGATAAGTAGGTGAGATTGTGTTTTTTATAAAAGATAACATTTCCCTTTGGACCTTCCTATATTTGGGCGTATAAAGCCAAGCCATGACTTCTTGCAGTGACCACAGGGCATAGAGAGGCCAGAAAGCCTTTTGTCATAAACTAGTGGAAATCTCCATTGAGTTACTAAGGATTCCAATTTAACCTGAAAAGCTACATTTTATTGTATGCATCTGGGCCCATGGGAGGGAGGAGATCCTATTTTGACATGAAAGAATGAACCGATTTTGCTCTTGCCTGGTGGTGTGAATAGCCAGGTGTTCTGTTGTTGTTCTCATAACAAAAAGAGGCTCAACTGATATCCAGACGGCCCTCTGCCTATCAGGAGCTGTGTGTTGCTCTCCAGGGTTGACATTGATCTCTGGACCTAGTCAGGGGAGAGGAATGGGTTTGGGAGAGGAGTGAGGGGCCTCCAAGGCCCAGTTCTTAGCTGCTGTTTACAATGGCTCTGCTCCTGAAGCCCAAGGTGCGAAGCTTTCTGGTGCTTCTCCCTGTAGTGGGGGTTGGGGGCTGGGGGGTGGAGGGGAGAGAGACCCTGGGAGGTGCCCTCGCCTGGACACTCAGAAGCCTACCGGGGAGAAAATTCAATGGATAAGATATCTATCATGCTTTGGTAGATGACTCAACTGGGGTGAGCATGAGTGGGTGCCTGAGGAAGGGGACCCTAATGCTTTAATTTCTCCTCTTCCTCTGTTTCAGGTCTTGAAGAGCTAGGTGATACCACCTATGTCCCTTATACCACTCATTTCCAGCTGCAGGCAAGTGATCTCTTTCTCCTTTTTCATCAGCAGCCTCAGCACCCAGGAACATGTCCCTTGGGCATAGAAGGTGTTACCATTCTGTTGGTTCCTACATGGCCGCCTTAAAAGGATGACATGTCTACTTTGCTCTCGTCCACATTTTGGAGTTAGGGCAGCTGACTGGAGGGTAGGGCACAGGAAGATCTTTAGGGGGAGGGTTTTGGAGAAAGGGAAGAAAATGAGACTCCTACTCACATTGAAGTTCTGTTAAAATATCCGGGAATGGGAGAGGGCTTAACCATATGGTGCTTCCTTTTCAGAATCGGAACTCCCAAAAGGATTTCTCCATCCCACGGGCCCAGACTCGCGTGAGCCCTTACAACGACTATGAAGGAAGGAAAAACGGCAGCTAGCTGAAGAGCGGGATGAACACGACGAGTCAGCAGGACTGAAGGGATGTGGGTTCCATCCCGAGTCTTCTAAGGAAACCGTACACAACGTGGTGGGAAGACCCGGCCTCCCCGCAGCCTCAACAGCCATTCTTCTGTCCTGGAGGAGCTGGGGGCGAGGACACTCCAGTTCTTAGCAGCACCGTAGCTTTCCCTTTGCTCCATAGTTAGGATGCTTCTTCTAGGTGGGAGTCTCAGGCAACTCAGGGTTTCTCTCTTACTATTCCCTGTCTCTTCACGCATGACTCAAGCCCCGGCCATCTAACTACGTACCGGCTCACCCAACTTCAGAAGCCAACGCTCAACGCCGGTTTTATAACGATTGCTCAGCCCAGAGCAGAACTGCAAATCTGAGCAGAAATAGTCTAGGGCTGTCTCCCAGCCCCTCCCTGCCTAAATCGACACTGGAAGCCAACTCGCTGGCACCCTCCCTTCTTGCCTGGGTAGGAGAGGCCAAAGGTCACCCTGAACGTACTCATCTCTATGGTGCTAACACAAGGCCTCTGTGGGTCCCCAGCACCGAGTCGCGGTCCCCCCTCTCTCCTTAGGTCACTCCCAAACTTGCTGTCAATCCCCCATTTGTTCTCCGCTCCATGTTTCACTGGGAGTTTTCCTTCTGGACCTCACTAGTGTGGGCAAGCCCGGCCTTTCTCTGCCAGGAGCATTTGTGCACTGTTCTTTCTACGTGTTCCTGGCACTGGTCCGCATCCCAGCCTCTGTAACTAGATTTTGCACTGTGCTCACCTCCTGCGCTCGGTAAGCAGGCATTGTCTGTGGAGGGGGGAGTGCCTTGTATTGTAAGTTATTCACCGTTCTTTACCTGGAGATGCAATAAAGATGTGGTGGCAACTCTTTCACGGTGGCCGCAGCAGTAGGAGTGGTGGACATTAGTCATGGACATTAGCTGAAGTTCAAGGTTCGGTTCCTCTGGGTGTGGGCTTGCCCCTGCTTGGTGTGTCTCTCCTCTTCTCCGTATGTGTCTAAGATAAGCGTGTTTTCCCCAATGTTTGAGGTGAGTGGCGGGGGTGAGGGGGGAAGCCAAGCGGGATCACGGAACCCTGAGGTTTGGCTCCCGGAAGCAGAGGAGTGGCAACAGTGGAATGGGGTTTGACAGCCCAGGTGAGACAGGAAGGAGACCTGAAAGCCAGTTTGGCCATTCACCCGAGGTTTAATTGTAGGAGGAAATAAATCCATAGTCCTTTATTTGACAGAATTGGTTCATAATATCTCTCAGAAAAGTCATGGTACCTAACAATTATGATTTACTTAATCCCTGAAACAGCGCTGTGGGGCGGGGTAATAGGAAATGGCTCTTTGGTGAAGAAGAAGAAGAAGAAAAAAAAAAGAAAATCCCATACACCAAATGGCATTTAAAAATGTGTAGCTGAGTTAGGGAGTTAACTCCCAAGAACCCGATGCGCTGCTTTTCATCAAAAGGAAAACTGAGTGTGGAAAGGGGTGAGGTGAGGTTGGTGAATGGATGACAGGCTGAATTAGGGCTATTTGCATTCCACAAAGATTTGGTTGAGGGTTTCTCGATGGCTTTGCACCAACAACATTAGCCAAGTTTTGCATTGAAAAGGGGAATTACAAGTAATGATTTATATCCTGACTATTCTAGTCTCTCCCCAGAGGGCATAATCCAGGAGGAGAAAGCAATACAGTTTCACATTTATTCTGCCACAGGGTGGGTACCCAGGAAGTACCCATTTCCTTCCCTCTTGTCTCTGGCCTGTCAGCCAAGCGCAGGGGGCTGAGTAAAAGGCAGAGCCACAGAACACCTGGATCTGCTTTCTTGTTACAAAAGAGTCTCCAGGCCTCTGTATCCACAGGACTCAAGTCAACCTCTTCCAAAACAGGGAAGGACATGGAAGGGGACCCATCGCCAGAAATTGGTTTCTTTTCTATTCTTTTAAAAAATACTCCTACCCTAGGATATGTTTTTGTTGATTTGACACACACACACACACACACACCACACACACACACACACACACACACACAGAAGAGGAGAAACAATGATTGGTTGCCTCCCATATGTGTCCCGATCGGATGGCACCTGCAACCTAGGTATGTTCCCTGACTGGGAATCGAACCTGCAACCGTTTGGGGTTACTGGATGATGCTCCAACCAACCAAGCCACCCAGCCAGGGTGGAAATTGGTTTCTTTTCTAAGATATAAAGTGGTCTCTGGCGTTTGGACTAGTGGGCCACCATTTCGCTGATTTTTTTGTTCTTAAAAGGCAGCAGAGGAAGGCTCCCTCCTCATTCAACCACACTTGTCATACCCCCTCTCCCCCTGCGTGGCTGTTAACCTGTCTTCAGGTCTCTTGCCTCCTGAACGTAATTAAACTCTGTGGTTAAACGAGGAACATCTTGGAGGCTGGAGGCTTTGGCCTCTGACAATCACTGTGATGATGCTGGAGAAGAGGGTTTCCCGGCCCGGGTCCACCTGGGCAGAAATAGAAGGTGCAAATTTAGCCTAGCCAGGCCCTTGAGCGAAGCCAGTTTGATTGATGGCTGGGAACCAAAATGACACCTCCTTTGAACTAAATGGATGCTAATAAAATGAAGTTCGCAACCTTGCTCTCATCTTTCATTGTCAGACAGAAACAAACCGCCTGTCACTTCTGCCTCTCGCTTTAGGTCTGAGAGAACGTCCATCGCTGCAATACCGCGTGGCTCCACTTGGTGGCAGTGGAACCTCAGGCATCAGCCCTCAAGGACGCCGAGCCCCCTCAAAAACAAACATCTAAAGCTGCTTTCCCATGAAGGGCATGAGGCAGAGCAGCAGATATCCAGTGGGCTTGAGGCAAAGGTGTCCAATTTTGAAAGGCTTGTGTGTATAAGCTGTTTGCGTCCTTCCTCCCACTGTCTTTAGAGAATTTGTTCCGATTCCCCCTGCCAGAGTTTAATTGCCCTGTGTCTGATTTTTGTGAAATTCTCCAAAGTATTTCCAGTCCATTTGCATGCAATCTGGCATCTTTACAGACAATGGTCTCATAATGCTGTTGTTACTAATGTCTATGAGTATGTTTGTGGTGAGAACATTGGCTTTTTGTCAGGAAAAGTGTGCCAAAACAAAAAGGTACAGCCTGGCCCTGGAAATGCAACAATAACACCCATTCTTCCCCCATCCCGGTGCATTCTGGGGTTCCTTCCTTCATTTCCAGACTTGTCCTTACTGCTGAGAACTGAGCTGCACACAGCTGGGCGTTTCCTTCCTTGCCCATGTCCTTCCGTTGTTACCAGGGTGGGAGGGTTTGCCCCTCTCCCAGCCCTAGTCTGAACAGGGATTATTTCAGAATTGGAAGTGGCGGGTTCAGAAAAACCTTCCTTCGGTGTTGACTGTGGAGATCTGGGGTCTGGCAAGACAGCCTTCAGCTTGTGAACCGCTGCTTCGGGAAACCATCTGGTCCAAACTGTAGGCTTCTCTGGAACTCCTCCACCCAGGGCAGACGATGCTTTGCCCTCGCTGGCTTCCAGTGTGCAGATGGGTGTGGGGAGCAGAACATCGGAGTCTGACCCCTGATTGCTGTAACCTCTGGATTATTACAGTTTTCTTGACCCTTCAGGGTGGGACACTCCAGTGCCTAAAACGTTAGCGTTTGAGAAGGTCACAGGGTTTCTTTAATTGGTGCCTCACATTCCTCACTTTTCAGAGGAGGGGACTCAGGGCTGATGGATATAACACAACTAGTAGTCCTGCACATGAATCTGTGCATCGTAGCTCTCTGTGGGGCCTGGCCACTCCGTGCCCGCTGCCCCGAGGCTCTCCGCAGCCCAGAGGCCCATCCACGGCCGGGTGCAGAGCGCTTACCTCGTCGATGCAGCAATGAAGCAGGCATTCCGCCAGGCTGCTCACGCTGCCCATTCTCAGCCTCTCAGCGGCCGCCCTCCTCCTCCCGGGACTGGGGGACTCCAGTGGTGCTGAGAGGACTGGGTGCCGCTATCTTGTGGCTATGGGTGCCACCATCTCTGTGATGGAGTGATGGTCAATTTGCATATTACCCTTTTATTAGATAGGATTGGGACCAGATTTCTGGTTCTGTGTTCTGAATACTGTCGACACTTGGGAGGTCAGTGTTAGACACATTTTTTTTTCCCCCAAAAGGGGGTTTGAGCACAGAATCAGATAAAGTGACCATGGTCACCCATGTTTTAAATCCCTCTCATTTTCCTTTGTCTTCCCAATTGCCTTTTGTTCTCATTTCTCTTCCAATGAACTCCCTTCCCCTCTGCATGTAAGCTGTGGGGAGAGGGACGGGAGGGTGATTTGACATTTTCTGCTTAAACCACAGATCACTGTCCTGCAACTCCCAAGCCAAAGGAGCATATTGCCTCTTGAGGGAGTGGGCTGTCAAAAGACGGATTTCAAGGCAAAAAAGAATTCATTTCCCCCGCCAGCATGATGATCCTTCCACGTCTCTAAGTCCCACATAGAGTCAAGAACCCATACCCAGCGCCTCTCTCTTTCCTTGGTGTGGAGCTACAGGGCCCCCTCAAGGGCAATCTCCCTGTGCAGTTTCTGATGGCAGATTACAGAGGCAGTTCCCCAGAAACACTTTGCAAGTAACTGTTGTGTATAATGACCTGAGCTGTGTGTCTCAAGCACCAGTTTCAACCACGATCTTCAACAGAAAAGAAGAGGAAGCCTTAATGAAATTTGGTTACCACGTGTGCAATACCCAACTGTCTGGTCCCAGCTACTTCTAGTTCAGGCCCCCTTCCATATTAATATCCATCAACTAAACAAACAAACAAACAAAAACACAAACAAAAAAACCCCCACAGCAACATTAGGAAAGATGGAATAATAATGTATTGGAATAGATTAGAATAAAGGTCCCACATTTAGTTTGATAGTTATAAATGTATTCATGCCCCCCCCCCCCGACCCCACTCCCAAATAAACCACATAAGTACTTGGTTTCACAGTCATGAGGAGAAGCAGCCTCCCAAG